GCCAAAAAAATAACTTAAAAAAAAAGATGTGACAACATTTAACTCATGCTTCATGCATCAGTTTAAGATGCTGCATCTGGAAACAGGTTAAACATCTAGATAGTTCAACATCTACAGTATGAGGAGACAAAAACGACATGAAGACACACTAAAGAAAAACAAGATACACAATGAGAACAGGAGGACAACTAATGCCAAAGATGACCAGAAATGACCACAAAATGGCAAAACTGTCACAAATAGACCCAAAGTGACAGAAGGGAGACAACGCTGTGCAACTGTAGAGGGTTAAATATCGATACTTTAGTCACTGTGTTCTGCAGGTGTTTGTTAAAACCTGAGTCCTGCTGACAGCAGACGTCTCTGAGTTCTGTCTCCTCCTTCATGTGGTCCTGGTTCCACAGAGCTGCAGGACTTTATGCTGCAGAGAATCATGAACCAGTGAAGTAGCATGAGATGGGACTTCCTCAGATAACTCTCACAGCATCAAACTGACGGTCAACAGACAGAGGAAACATCTGTAGCACAGCTGCACTTCATCCAGACACACAGGTGATCTCTGCACACCTGTGGGTGCCACAGAGTATGCGCAGTAGCTTCACTTCTTCACCAGGGATCCGTAAAAATGATTTTTGGTCAGAAAATGTAGAAACTCCTGGAGACTGAAGCTGCTCAGGTGTGATGATGGGATGTTTTGTTTCCACGGTAACCTGTCAACTGCATGTCCACCTGTGTAGGTGATGGTGTCAGGATGTCTGAGGCGAGGCAGCGAACTTTGTCCACCTCTGGAGAGTCTCTGTATCAGATCCTGGGTCTGCAGAAAGGCTGCAGCCATGACGACATCAAGAAGTCATACAGGTGAGGCAGGTTCACACAGGTGAACAGCTACCTGTGTGAGCTGCAGTGCCCCCTTCAGAGGAGTTGCACTTCTAAAAAAGAGAGAACATCTTGTGTTCATTAAAACCTCAGAAGTTTAAACTTCATCATGAGTCCTCCCACATGGCAAATCCAACCAAGAACTGTTCAGATGAAAGACAAATCACCAAAGATCACCACAGACGAGTCTTTACACATGAAAGATCCACATAAGTCATTTCATGACTTTCAAATACTGCCTTTGAAACAAAACAAATATAAATAAAAATAATTCAAACAAAAATAACAACTAAATAAAGATAACCTGTAGCCTGTGTCGTGGTGGTTGTGTCCGTGGGCAGGACACTTCTCCACCTGCCTGCAGTGGATGCGTATGGATGGATTGTTGAGGTGGTGGTCGGAGGGCAGGATGGCAGCCAGGCCTCTGTCAGTCTGCCCCGGGGCAGCTGTGGCTACAACCGGAGCGACCACCACTGGGATGGATAACTGACAGTGAAAAGCGACTTTGAGTGTCTAGAAAAGCACTGAATAAATCTGATCAATTTTTTTTGTTTGTTTTTTAAATAATAATAAATAAAATAAGAAAAACAAAATAAAAATGTGGGCTGCAGGTGTCTCGGTGGTTAGCACCGTCGCCTCACAGCTAGAAGGTCGCCGGTTGGCGTCCCGGTGAGGACACCCGG